GGAGGCCCGGCGGAGACAGGTAAGGCGCCCCCCGGGCGGGGGCTGCCCCCGGCCGCGCGTGGGCGAGGGCGCCCTCCCCGCCCGCCCAACTTTCGGGTGCCCGGCCGCGGTCCCGGGCGCACGCAGGGAGGCTCTGCCCGGCCTCGGGCATCGCGCAGGGAATATACGAGGGATCGGCGGCGCCGCGCAGCTCTCGCGGTCCGGGTTTAGGGGGGGTTCGTTGGGGGCGGGGCGGGGATGGCGCAGCCCCCCCGGCGAGGCGCGCAGCGGGTGCAGCCGCGCAGCTCCCGCCGCCCGGCACGAAGGGACGGAGCCGCATTGGAAAGTTGCGTGCTGGTTTTGGGGGAGAGCCCGGGGAAGGGAAGGGAAGGGAAGCGATAGGGACCGGCCGCATCCCGGACACCCGCATCCGGGTGCCCGCGGCCCCGTGCCCGGTCGCAACCTGGGGAAACTTTAGGTGAGAAATCAAGATCACCTGGCAGGGAGCAGGCGGCCGGGAGCCGTGCAGGGCGGCGCGGGGAGCGGGCGAGGCTTCGCGGCGGTGGAGGCACCCTGCGGCCAGCCCCCGGGAAAGCCTGCCCGCCGTACGTGCGGGACCCGCGCTTACTTTGCAAACGCCGGGGTGTCCCGGGACCTGGCGGGTTCGTGGCAGGTTTTGGGGCGCGAGTGTGTTTTTTCTGGTCTTCGCTGAAGAGCTAGGCTGGGCTGTCAGGAGGCGCTGGGATGAAGCCCCGGTGCTTGCGTTGCTTTGGCTTGGGGACAGGAGAGGGGGCAAGGGCGGGCTGAGGCTGGGCCCTGTGCTCCCCGGCCATTGGCTTCGGGCCTGGCTAACGGGGGCAGCAGGGACCCCCCGGAGCAGTCCCTGGAGAAGGATATGCCTCACCCAGCCGCCCGCCGCTCTCTTGGGGCCCCTTCTGCGGTCAGCAGCCCAGGAACCGCCTGGCAGGACGGCGGTGCCAAGCCATCAGCTGCGGAGCTGTGGGTTTCCCTTCCCGTTAGCCGGGGCCCCGGGACGCGCCTCAGACAGCCCGGGGGGACGCGGGGTCCGGAGCCGCCGTCTGACCCGGGCAGCGTTAGGTGGCGAGGCGCCGTGTGCGTGCGTGGGTCCCTGCCTTCCCCGGCCCCGGGGCGGCATGGCCACCAGCTCCCTCTTGGAAAGGGAAGCGGCAGAGTCCCTGCTGCCTGAGAAAGTCCCTCTTCTGCAGCAGCGAAGCACAGACGTTCCCGGCAAACACGCTCCGTGTACATTCAGTTGCCGCTTGGCATCGCCTCCTTCCTTATGGTTATAAAGGAAAGAAAAAAAAAAAAAAACCCATCTTTTGTTCAAATGGGAAAAAAACGACTTGGTACTCGATGGGGTGAAGAGAAAGGGCGAAGTCCTGGGAGGCCCCTGCCGAGTGCAACAGTCTTTTCAGATGGTCCCCGTTGCATGGGCAGTGCCTGGTCTCCCGGAGCGGGAACTGTGCTGAGGCAGATCGGGCTGTAACCCGAGGCTGGCTCCCCGGCTGCCCTCCCTGCGGCTGCCGAGCCCCCGCGTGTGCCTGTGTCTGTGCGTGCACCTCCTTCTATCCTCGAGTGGGCTCCGCATCGGGTGTTCTAGCCGGGAAGGGTTTTATGAGCCAGCCGTGTCTCTGAGGCCATTCAGTCGCTGTAAGAAATGTTTATTTGAACGCGGGGTTTTCCCGGCTAAGCAGAGCATCACATGGTGTTGGAGCCAGCGAGGAAGTTGTCTCCCTGTGGCCGACACCGGCGGCTGTTTGCTGAGACGTTGTTGTGCTGCAAACCCAGCCAAATGACTTTATTGCTAGCCCAGTGAGCAAAGGTATGGGCTAACAGGACGCAAACCTCCATCAGGCTATGCTCAGCTCCAGTAAATTAGCCAGCCTAGTACGAAAAACATGCCAGAGGTAGATGGATTTATGTTTCAGTCTGGTGTATCTGAAAGCCTTCCCCCATTATGAAAGTCCCTCTTAAGGTTCCCTAAGGGAGGTTAGTAGAGAGGGGAGATGTTTTTAATAGACAATAATATGATAATCCACATGGAAAAAACCCTCATGCAATATTTCTACAGTAAGAGATAAACAGTGCAGCTGCCAATTTGTATGTAGCCAAGCAAACCCTGAGATAACCATGGAGGGGAGTGGGTGGGAGACCCTGGAAGATAAATCTGAAGGCTGGATGACTGTGTTTTTCATCTTCCTGTAAAAAACAATCAAGTAAGAAAGTAGCAGATTTGAGTGACCCAAGTACTGAGCTGTTCAGACGATGTTATGCAGCTCCAAGCAAAGCTCACTCTTGAAGCCTTCCAAATAGTTTGCTTAAAAGCTGGTATTTTTAGTAATGACTTAGGAGATGTAGCAAGGTGGGGAGGGGGACCAAAACAAATTGCTGCCAAGCAGGCACACGGCCGCACACATACAAACACGTGCACACACACACACACCCACGCAAGCGTTGAGTGAAATGCCTTTTGCCCGTTGTGCTGTTAACTTGGCTCTTACTGGGAACAAAAGCTTTTTTAGCCTAGGAATCAGACAGTTGTCAGGAGCATCACTGAAAACAACTGATACAAGCTCAGTGGGGGCTCTGACCCAGGTTAGGATGCTGCATTTTGTTTTCCTAACTTTCCTGCCACAGAAAAAGCATGGCGTGTGGTGTCCGGAGTGACAGGCAGGCGTACTGGTCCCGGGGGCTCTACGGAGGTGCTTAGCATCTCCCTGCCCTGCTCCTTCTACCCCCTAGCCCCCTTCCCAGTATTTACTCGGTGTTTGGTACCTTGTGCATGGCTTAGAAGGTTAAAATGAGAAAGCAACCTGCTTTGCTGGGCTGGAGAAGGCAGTGTTCCCCGTCCCAGCAGTGTGCCACTCCGGGCAGGCGGGTGGGTTCGTTTCCTAGCAGAAACCTCCAGTGCCACTGGGCTCCAGGACATGCTGGCCTTGTATCACAGATAGCCTGAGAGGAGAAAGCATCCTTCATGGGGTTTAGGAAGCTGTCAGGTTCAGATAAGGCTGGGATCCTATCCTGTGGGACCCCCAGTTGTATTAATAAGGAAAAATTAATTTTTAAGCACTAGGATTGCTGCCAAATTATATGACCTCTGACAGACCAGCTGTGCTAGGAAAATAAATCGTCTATACCTGAGACCTGTGATCCTATCTGAAATCGAAATAGAAAAAGTCGGCGTTTAGCCACGATGGTGGGGGCAGATTGCAGCAGCCTGAGAGCAAACTGGAAGCTGCTAAATTTGCTCTCCATTGCACGGTGAAGTCACCATCGCTGCGTCCCCATGGGGTCTTGGGAATACAGTTGTCTAATCCGGGAAGTGTGGAGAGCTGTTGTGCCTGCACACACCCAAGCCAGGGCTGACGGTGTCGGCACGGAGGTGGGGGCAGAAGCGGGTGTGAACGTTTCCAGCTCTACCGTCACTCTAACAGCCTTTTGACACATTTCTAATTATAATACACACACAGACAAAGAGGTAGCTGGGCTATTTTCGAAATCCCTGTCTACACCCTGGTGGAAACCGCAATACTAGCAACAACATAAATCAGGGCTGTTGCTAGCAGTGTTGCACACGGCTTAGCGCTACAGTAGCATGGTTTTAATCATACTCAGAATCAAAGGGTCAGCCTTTTCCCTGCCTGAGCCAAATCGCAATCTCAGAAGGCCGGATCCTGAGCCAGGCTTGATGCCTGTGCAGTGAAAAGACACAAGCGTAGACACGGAGGAGAGGTTTGTCAGCACGAGGTCGGCAGGCACAGGGCCAAACACTCGAAATCACAACTCGGATCTGTAACCCTTTCTATGTGCAAGTGGTGCCTGCGGATCGCATGGGGGAGGACAGCTAGGGTGATGCTGCAGGGCTTGGGCCCTGACCACAGACTTGGTGAGGCAGCCTCTTCCCAAACAGGTTGGGGAAAGGGGTACCAGCAGTGACTTGGCATGCAGAATAGCCCAAAGTATTACTTGCAGGGATGGATGGTTGCAGAGATTTTCTGTCTGAATGCTTCCTCCTCTGTCTTCATACTTGATGTGTCAAAGAAAATGGGCCCCAGAAATGAAGTACTGGGGTCTTTGAAACCTGCTCTGATTTCTCCCCGTGCATTTGAGACAAAGGGAAGATATCTGCCCTAGCTGTTCTGGTGGGTCACCCCTAGCTGTGAAGTGCTGTCTGTGTGGGGCTTGAATGCCTGTCTTTCTTCTGTGTGTCCCTCCTAGGAAGATGGTGAAGCCAAAAGGACACTGTCCTTTCACTCTGCTTACGTTTTGTTGAAAGGGTCCTTTGGACTCTGGTTTTTAGGGGATGCCTGTGGGGAGAGAAGGGAGGAAAACCCCAACCCCTTGTGTATGTAGACTCATATGCGCACACTTACTATCTCCCTGGTTCCTCCTCTCTCTTCACAAGCACACAAATCTACCTTTTTCTCTTAAACGCAGAGGCCCCTCCAGTCCCCCCCACCTCGCTGCCTGCCACGCACACACTGCTGCATCCTTCCCTTCCCTACGCTCTCCCTTGCGCACCCAGAGCCCTTCAGCAACTTTCTCCCTCATGCACACCCCCGGGCTTGCTCCTGCTTTCCTCTCTTTCTGTTTGACCACTGAATATGCGCTCAGGAAACAATGTGTTTAAGACACTCGCCAGAATGTGTAATAACTTCGGCACTAGCAGTGAGGCTCAGCAGTAGCTGGATTTGAGCAAGCCGTAGTAAAGGCTGAAGCCGCTGCCGCTCGGCAGCGTGCGTGGAGGGAGCTGCAGCGGGGCCTCTCCCTGGGTGGCTCTGGAGGGGCTGTTTCCCCTCCCGTCCCATCCCATCCGTGGGGCTGCCCACTGCCAAGGCACTGGGTTTTGCTCTGTGGCTCCAACAGGGCCCTTGGGAGGGAGGGCTGAGCCAGGGGTGGTGTGGGATTCAGAGAGGCTCTGCCAGCCGCTTTGGGAAGAGGCAGGAATAAACTGCCATTGCCCAGTGGGGAAAGCCAGGATTCAGTTTTTGTGAAGAACGGACCCTGACAGATGGGCTC